AAACCATTTGTAATTGCAACAATTTTCTGGGTGAAGTGGTGCATTATCTGACAAATTCAGGGATGCCATTATTTTTGAACATGAGTGTATACTCGTCTATTATCCACACTTTGAGCAGGAGTGTCATCTGGAAAAACTGATTAGACATGTTCTCTCCTTTACATATAAATTATTGCTTGCATAAACTCCTCCCCCTCAATTTCTGGATATATGGGAGAGAGATCTAATCTTAGATCTCTCGGACATAGACTACTCAAAACCTCTGATGTCCTGGTCAGGATATAAGGATACAAGATAAAGACAAGGTGGTATCGCACCCTGGACACACTGCACTGCATGTACCTAGCAATACCCAACAGCTGCAGGCATTGTGCTGCTGTCAGGCTGACTTGCATGTATTCTGATCTTGCCTGGCCCTCCAGCCCTTCTGGAAGAGCATTCATGTCAAGGTCCAGAAATTCAGATACCCAAAAAGTCAGTGGTTCACCGTTTGAATGCAGCCTGACCCTGTATCCGTACTTTGTGGAAAGCCACAACTGCCCCCTCTCTCACACTTTGGTTTCATAAGGTAGAAGACATCCGCCACTACTGCCCTAAAGGGAAGTGAAGAGAGAAATTTAATAAGACCTGGTTCTACTGGTTTGAATACATCTGCACTGACTAATTTGAACGCATTTTTGCAGGTCAGTCTCCTCCTTAGACAATGGGTTGTAGGGTCCATTCAGACATAAAAGTGGAATTTCCAGCTGTTTGTTTACTTGTGCACTGGTGGGCAGTCATGTTGGAACAGGAAAGTGCCATCCCCAAACTGTTCCCACAAAGTTGGGAGCATGAAATTGTACAAAATGTCTTGGTATGCTGAAGCCTTAACAGTTCTCTTCACTGGAAGGGGCCAAGCCCTACACTTGGCACAATGCAGTCAGGCAAGTACCAAACCCAGAGACATCCATTGGCTTGCCAGACAGAGAAGCGTGATTTGTCACTCCAGAGAATACGTCTCCACTGCTCTAGAGTCCAGTGGTGCAGTGCTCTCCACCACTGTATCCGGTGCTTTGCATTGTATTTGGTGATGTAAGGCTTGGATGCAGCTCCTCTGCTATGGAAACCCATTCCATGAAGGCTCTCTATGCACTGTTATGCTAATCTGAAGGCCACACAAAGATTGAAGGTCTTTAGCTGTTGACTATGCAGACAGTTGGCGACTTTTGCGCACTGTGCGCTTCAGCATGCGCTGACCCTGCTCTGTAACTTTTACGTGGCCTACCAGTTCGTGGCTGAGTTTCTGTTGTTCCCAGTTGCTTCCACTTTGTTATAATACCACTAACATTTGACCGTGGAATATTTAGTAGCAATGAAATTTCACAGATGGACTTATTGCACAGGTGGCAACCTACCACAGTACCATGCTTGAATTCATTGAGATTTTCACAAATGTTTGCAGAAGCAGTCTGCATGCCTAGGTGCTTGATTTTATACACCTGTTGTCATGGAGGTGATTGAAATATCTGAATCCAGTGATTTGGAGGGATGTCCCAATACTTTTGGCTGTGTATGTGTGTACAGTATATGTATATAAAAAAACAAACTTACATACAGTGCTCAGCATAAATGAGTAAGCCTACGGACTAAGACTGGGATGCCATTAAAGTTCATGTGCGTGTAAAGGCAAGTGTATAGAGTGTGTGTATGTTATATTTATTATTATTATTATTATACAGGATTTATATAGCGCTCAGCGCTTTACAATATAACGGGAGACAATACAGTAACAATACAGTTCAATACAAGAAGGATAGAGCTTACAATCTAGGAGGGAGGGGCTAGTGGTACAAAAGGTAGTAACTGTGGGGGATGGACTGGTTAGAAGAGTAGAAGATTCTAGTATTAGCTGAGGGCAGGATAGGCTTCTCTGAAGAGAGGTTTTTAGAGATCGCCTAAAAGTGAACAGAGTAGGCGATAGTCTGATAAATTGGGGTAGAGAGTTCCAGAGGATGGGGGAAGCTCTGGAGAAGTCCTGTGGAGGAGGAGACAATGGAGTTAGAGAGCAGGAGGTCTTGCGAGGAGCGGAGAGTACGGTTTGGGTGATATTTAGAGAGAAGATCGGTGATGTAATTTTGGGCAGAGTTATAAATGGCTTTATATGTTATTGTTAGTGTTTTGAATTTTATCCGTTGGGTAACGGGAAGCCAGTGGAGGGATTGCAGAGAGGGGTAGCAGATACAGAACGGTTAGTGAGGTGGATGAGTCTGGCAGCAGCATTCATGATAGACTGAAGAGGGGATATCCTGCGATTGTGTAGGCCAATGAGGAGGGAGTTACAATAGTCAAGGCGAGATATAACAAGGGAGTGAATAAGTTGCTTAGTGGTTTCCGAGGTTAGGAACAGTTCTATCTTGGAGATGTTGCGGAGGTGAAGTCTACAAGATTTGGACAGTGATTGGATTTGGGGCTGAAAGGACAGATGGGAGTCTAGGGTTACACCTAGTACCCTGGCATGAGGAGAGGGACTGATGATTGTTTTATTGATCTTGACAGAGAAGTCAGGGGAGGGGGCTAGGCTGGAGGGAATACTAAGAGCTCAGTATTGGAAAGATTGAGTTTGAGGAAGTGGAGTGACCATCCATGCCGATATGTCACTTAGTAGGTTAGTGATGCGAGTGGAGACTGAAGGGGTGAGGTGAGAGGTAGAAAGATAGATTTGTGTGTCATCAGCATAGAAATGGTACTTAAAGCCGTGGGAGTTTATCAAGTGACCAAGGGAGAAGGTGTAGATGGAGAAGAGAAGGGGTCCAAGGACAGAACCTTGAGGGACCCCTACAGAAAGAGGGAGTGAAGAGGAAGAGGCAGCGTTATAGGTAACACTGAAGGAGCGTTGCGATAGGTAGGAGGAGAACCAGGCGAGAGCAAAGTCTCTGAGGCCAAGACAGTGGAGTTTTTTGAGGAGGAGGGGATGGTCAACCGTATCAAAAGCCGCAGAGAGGTCAAGTAGTAAGAGTACGAAGTAGTGGCCAATGGTTTTAGCAGTTAGTAGATCATTTGTGAGTTTTAGTAGGGCAGTTTCAGTGGAGTGTAGAGAGCGAAAGCCAGACTGTAAAGGGTCAAGAAGGTTGTTGTCGGTGAGGTGGGAGCTCAGGCGATTGTAGACTAAGCGTTCTAGGAGTTTAGAGGTAAATGGCAGCAGGGAGATAGGTCTTAAGTTGTTCAGGTCGGTGGGGTCCAAGGAGGGCTTTTTAAGTATGGGAGTGACGTGAGCATGCTTTAGAGGGGAGGGGAAGGCACCAGTAGAGAGGGAAAGATTGAAGATGTGAGTGAGGGAGCATAGGATGGAAGAAGAGGGTGACTGTAGTAGTTGTGAGGGCACAGGATCCAGGGGGCAGGTACTGAGACGGGCTTCTGAGAAAACCTTAGTGACCTCTTTGGTAGTGGCGAGGTCAAAAGAGGAAAGTGTTGAGGGAGGTTTAGTATAAGGTATGCTAAGTGGAATGGATGTCTGTGCAGTGGTGACGTCCCTACGAATTGTGTCAATCTTGTTTTTGAAATGGTTTGCAATCTCATGAGTAGTGAGTGAGGTACTGGGTGAAGGTGGAGAAAGTAGAGAGTTAAAAGTAGAGAAGAGACGACGAGGACTGGATGAGAAGGTATTAATAAGAGTGACAAAGTAGGCTTGTTTGGCAGCATGAAGGGAGGAATTGTATGTTAAGAAAGCAGATTTATATTGGGTGAATGCTTGGTGAGATTTGGTTTTATGCCACAATCGCTCCAGCGCACGACTATGTCATTTAAGATTTCTGGTGTGGTCAGTCTGCCAAGGTTGTAACGGTCGGGGCCTGATGCTTCGTGTTGTTAGAGGAGCAAGTGAGTCTAATGCGGATGAAAGCGAACTGTTATAGACAGCAGTGGCCAGGTCAGGGCAGGACAGGGGAGAGATTCTGTCATAGAGTTGGTCAGTTGCAGAGTGGAAAGGAGCAAGGTTCAAGTTGTGAAGGTTTCTGCAGGTAGTTGTTTGCTGCTTGGAGGGATAGGTGTTTGAAGATGAGGAGACTGTAAAGGTGATGAGATTGTGATCAGAGAGAGGAAAGGGGGTGTTTGTGAGGTTGTAGGGAGTGCAAAGACAGGAGAAAACAAGGTCTAATGTATTCCCATCAGAGTGAGTGGAGGACTGTATACATTATGCTAATACAAAAGATGAGGTTATGTTGAAGAGTTGGGATGTAGCCGGGTTGTTGACATTAACAGAGATGTTAAAATCTTCGAGAATGATAGTGGGTAGTTCAGAGGAGAGAAAGTAGGGTAGCCAGGTGGAGAAATCATCAAGAAAGCGGGACACGGGGCCAGGAGGCCGATAGATCACTGCAATCTTCAGAGAAATGGGAGAAAACAGCCGGATGCAGTGAGTCTCGAAAGAAGAGAAGGATAGAGAGGGAGGGTTAGGGAGGACTTGAAAGGTGCTGAGTGGGGATAGAAGCAAACCAACCCCACCACCTTTCCGACCACTGGGTCTGGGTGAGTGGGTCCAGATGAGGCCACCATAGGAAAGTGCTGCAGGGGAAGCAGAATCTGCTGCTTGAAGCCAGGTTTCTGTAATTGCTAGTAGGTTAAGGGAGCGGGAGACAAAAAGGTCATGGACAGAGATGAGCTTATTACAGACAGAGCGGGCATTCCAGAGCGCACATGAAAAAGGGAGGGTGGTTTTTGGGAGCACGGGGACTGATATTAAATTGAGGGGATTGTGGCTATTACCGGAAGAAAGAGGCTGCCTGGTGTGGGGGTGAAGTAGTGGAGGACCAGGGTTTTTGGAGATATCCCCAGAGGTTAGGAGAAGAAGGGTGAGGAAAGTAACATATGTATGTATATATATATATATATATATATATATATATATATATATACATACATACATATAAAACATGCAGTGTCAGAGGAACTGTATGGAGATAGGTGGTAAGTGACCTATTTAGGTAAAAGCTCAGTATGATGTGCTCTTATGTTGTATTTTGCAGGAGTGGGCAGATTCATGCTGTCGGGGGCTCAGAAGTGCACATGCTTACATCCTCGTCTATGACATCTGCTGCTTTGATAGCTTTGAATATATCAAGACCCTGAGGCAACAAATACTGGAAACACAAGGTGAGAAAAATAAAATGGCACACACATGGCATTTGCATGTATGTGATCATGATACTTATGTGGCAGTATAAGATCATTTATTTTTATTCAGCTCATATACAGATCATTTTTTGTTTAACCGACGTAAACCAACAGATGGTAAGCTATATCTTAAACCCGAACTGTAAGCAAACAATGAAATTCACAGATGAAGTGCAGTTACTTAAACTGTTCCACTTGATATCAACAGCAACACTGATAATGACTCCAGGTCCCTTTAAAGATGCACACTGGGCATCTTTACAGCTGATGTTTTAGGTGACAGGTGTTTTTTTTCTACAGCCAGTAAACTAACAGCATGTTATCCTCTGTATCCATGCACACATAGGCTTTTATCAGCAGAACTACTGCATTTGAAGAGTAGTTTTTCAGCTGTAAAAATCTATCCGCTATCAGGTGTTTGAGCGTTTTTGAGCCTTAAGCTTTGTGGGAGTATATCTTTGCTAAAAAAAAAACCCGCTAAAAACCGCTAATTTAAACCCAGTAAAAAAAGTGTCAAAACGCGTATTAACGCAGTATCTACAGCTAACGCTACTGGCATTTTTGTAACGTCCAGTGTTCATGAGACCTTATTGCTTGCAGGAGTTCAGAGTCTTCAGTTAACATTGCAAAATTCAGAAATCCCTAACATCCTTGTTTAAATAGACTCAAACTGCATGAAAAATAATAATATTAATCAAAGAAATAAACAGCAGAAACTGCCTTCATAGCTAAGCATATTTATTAATGCAAGTGGCCAAATAGTTATACATATCTAAAAACCATGGTAACAAACCCTATTAAAAACCCCAGTTCAACGGTCTACCGTAAAAGTATAATCAGTATGTGTGCATATGAAATAAACACTAATAATTCTAAAGATGAAGCATGTAAAAATATCTTGGATCACACTATAAATGTTCAAACATGTGAGCTTCCTAAACCTAGTACACACTATTAGAAAATCTGATGAACATGTATGTGTATTCGGAACGATCATTCGATTTTGTTTATTAGCACACTGCTTTCAAGAGCCAATATGGACTGTTCAAACACAAATTTCCAAAGGGACACATTAGGCATTTTTTCTTGTTTAGTTATAACGTCCGATTTTTAATTTAATAAGTACAGTATTCATTCTATAAAAATGTAATGAGTATGTCTGCGTATGATCGAAAACATCTGGATGGGACAGAAACCTGGTCTGGACTGCAGGCCACAATTTTTAGTGATGTCTGGTCTATCACATAAAATCACAATAAAATACATTTACGTTTTTGGTTGTAACATGACAAAATATGGACAATTTCAAGGGGTATGAATACTTTTTCAAGGCACTGTAAGTACTATGATCAATATCTACACAATCTGATAAATATCCAAACATTCACTGTGCAGTGCTCCCCCAGTAATATTATATTTTACATAAAAGATGGCAAAAAACTTAATTCCACATGCAAATGGATGTACAAGTCTATTGTTATTAGCAGCGTCACACCAATATTTAGTAAAGCATGAAAGTTCTCATGCACACGCAAAAAGGATGTACAAAAATAGTCTAAAGTGTGTTTACTCATTTATTGGGGGCTTCAAGTTTTCAGCCACCACCTGATTGGTTTTGCTGGTCCCACTTGGCTGCATCAGTGGTAGAGCTGCAAACAATCCCATCCTCTTGGCCCTAAAAGGAAGAGCAGGGGGAGAGTGGCTTAGCCTTGACCTGTCAAGCTATGGCTATGTGTAACATACTGACACTACAAGGTCTTTTCACATCCCCATAAGTAACTCCACTTAAAGAAGTCTCCACATGCCAAGAAAACAAAATGGCATGTATTGTTGAAAGCAGTGACGAAGATAGACATTTTTTCACCAAGGGCAACCCTTTGTTTGTGTGTGTGTGTGTGTGTGTGTGTGTGTATGTATGTATTTATATGTGTAGTGTGTGTGTATATACACACACTGCATCCAGAAAGTATTCACAGAGCTTAACTTTTGCCACAATTTATGTTACAGCCTTATTTCAAAATGGATTACATTTATTTTTTTCCTCAACATTCTACAAACAATACCCCATAATGACAATGTGAAAGTAGTTTGTGTTGAAATCTTTGCAATTTATTAAAAATTAAAAAAAAAAAAAACACATGTACATACGTATAAATGTGTGAGTTAGCGAGCGCACCTTATAAAGCTGCTGTTGCACAAAAAGGAACCACAAAGCCTTTCTAAGAATATAACATAAAAATGGGGTGTGCAGCGCACAAGCTTGGCACACCTATTTTTGGGCAATTTCTCCCATTCTTCTTTGCAGTACCTCTCAAGCTCCATCAGGTTGGATGGGGAGCGTCAGTGCACAGACATTTTCAGATCAGGTTCAAGTCTGGTCTCTGGCTGGGCCACTCTAATATATACACAGAGTTGACCTATAGCCACTCCTTTGTTATGTGGGCTGTGTGCTTGGGGTCGTTGTCCTGTTGAAAGATGAACCGTCGCCCCAGTCTAAGGTCCAGAGCGCTCTGGAACAGGTTTTCATCAAGGATGTCTCTGTACATTGCTGCATTCATCTTTCCTTTGATCCTGACTAGTCTCCCAGTTCCTGCCACTGAAAACATCCTCACAGCATGATGCTGCCCCCGCCATGCTTCACTGTAGGGATGTTATTGGCCAGGTGGTGAGCAGTGCCTGGTTTCCTCCAGACATGACGCTTGGCATTCAGGCCAAAGAGTTCAATATTTGTTTCATCAGACCAGAGAGTTTTGTTTCTCATGGTCTGAGAGTCCCTCAGGTGCCTTTTGGCAAACTCCAGGCGAGCTGCCATTTGGCCTATTACTGAGGAGTGGCTTCCGTCTGGCCACTCTACTATACAGGCCTGATTGGTGGATTGCTGCATAGATGGTTGTTCTTCTGGAAGGTTCTCCCCTCTCCACAGAGAAACGCTGGAGCTCTTTCAGAGTGAGTGTCCTGTGATTGGTTACCTCCCTGGCTAAGGCCCTTCTCCCTCGATCGCTTATTTTGGCCAGGTGACTCGCTGTAGGAAGATTCCTGGTGGTTCCAAACTTCTTCCATTTACGTATGATGGAGACCTTCAATGCTTCAGAAATGTTTCTGTACCCTTCCCTAGGTCTGTGCCTTGATACAATCCTGTATCGGAGGTCTACGGACAATTCCTTGGACTTCATGGCTTGGTTTTGCTCTGACGTGCACTGTTAACTGTGGGACCTTATGTAGACAGGTTTATGCCTTTCCTAACCATGTCCAATCAACTGCATTTCCCACAGGTGGACTCTAGTCAAGCTGTGGAAACATCTCAAGGATGATCCGTGAAAACAGGATGCACCAGAGCTCAATTTTGAGTGTCATGGCAAAGGCTGTGAATACTTATGTACATGTATTTTTTATTTTTTTAATAAATTGCAAAGATTTCAAAATGAACTTTCATGTTGTCATTATGGGGTATTGTTTTTAGAATGTTGAGGGAAAAAAAAATTTAATCTATTTTGGAATAAGGCTGTAACATAACAAAATGTGGCAAAAGTTCAGCGCTGTGAATACTTTTCTGGGTGCACTGTAGTCCAATTAATAATCTATGCTTTTATTCCCGCACTGCTAATATTAATACACCAAAAAAATATGCTAAAAAACCCTAAACACCACTGAGCAGCTGCCCTCAAGGGCCTTACAATATAGGATCTCTATCTCTCTCACACACACACATATACTAGGACCATTCTGAAAGACCCAGTTAACATTCTTTGGAGAACAGGAGGAAACCAGAGAACCTGGAGGAAACCCATGCAAGCACAACTCCCATAGCCAGTTTTTCTCCCGTTGCAAAACGTTTTGGTTAAAATTCTTCATACATGTTTTTTTTTTTTTTTTTTTTTTTTGCCCCATGTTCAACTACATAGCATTTTAACAGGTTCACATCCCCATTATGTTCAAGTACAGAATGCCTGGCTTCAGGCGACCTTAGACTAAAAGTGCAAATATTGTCATATAACCATCTTCTAACAGTCCAAATTGTTTTACCCTTGAACATACACAACTCCAGCTAACATATGCCTTGCCCCCAAGAGTCCCTGTATTGCTGTGGAGAGTTGGTGTGCTTCACTCAATCATAAAGAAGTAGTAGTCTCCATTGTAAAATGCAAATACTGCCTGACTCCTATTGTCCACATCATTTCTGGAATGTGTCAACAAGAATATTATGCAAAGATGATGCCTTTCTATATACACACACAGGAGTGATGGGTACACAATTCTCAATCAGGTCATCATTAGCCAACAAAAAAAACAGTAATTATATCAAATGCCTCTTATTTTAATGACATGGTTTTTGTACTTCAGACTAAGTCTGACATATTTCTGTTAATACTGTACATGTTGCATTTATACAGAAGATCTTTCTACTTTCCCTAACTCTCTGGCTCTACTCAGTCATTTATTTTATAAGTCGTCTAGCAGATATCTAGATATCCTTCTCAGCGAGTGTTGAGTTATCTTTCTTGTCCCTTTTTGGTGGTCAGGTCCAAAAACAAGACTTTTTCAAGATCATATGAGCTTGTAATCTCAATTTAAAATGCTTTTTGTCCCATATTTTCACAAATCCATCTCATCCACCGTGCCAATCAACAGAATCAAAACATTAATACAAGTTTACCATGCCGAAATTCTGGATAGGAAAATCAACAAGACATCCATTCAAATAGATGATGCTCCCAATCACCAAGTCCAAATTTGCAAATGCAGGTTCATATTTAATGCCCATTGCCTTGCTCTGGCTTGACAGAATATTTCTTGTCAAAACTAAAGTTATTTTGTTTCAAGCGTAAACTCTGCAGTTCTACCCAAGAGTCTTGTCTCGAATATTTTCCAAACCCAATTTGTGGGGCTTTAATATCTAAGGTATCTGTGTGCTTCAATATCTAAAGTAACTAAAAGAGCATTCTGAGGAATTGTAACATTGTCCAACAGCATAGGCTAGT